TTTAGTTATTTTAATTTTATTGTAAATTTTTAATATGAACTCTATCGCATATAGCTGAATATATAGCTGTGGTTTATATGTTTTTCTAATTACATCATAGCAAGTGCATCTGCTGTGCAACAAATAACAAAAAAATGTTATAGTCAAGGGATTTCGTGAATGAAGTATTATATATATAGGAATATATACATTCTATATATAATATATATTATATATATATAAAAATATCAATATTTATGTTGAGTGCGAGTTCAAGTAAATTGAGATAAAGTAAATTGAATTTTCTTAGGGATTTTTTGCACTGCACTTAACTTATGTAAATATTTATTTATTTATTGTACTTATTTATTATTTTTGGTTAAAAGTTTCCAAATTTATTTATTTTTTTATTAAAGTTTTCACATTGGCAATACCTAATTTACTTAATTTTTATCTAATTTGCTCTACTCGAAATTCTGTTAAATACCAACATTCGCTGCCATACCGGCATAATTCACTATTTCTCTCAATTTATCATCAATTTACTCGAACTCGCACACAGTTTTAATAGTGTAATGTCATATTACTTCAATTCCGTAAGTTGATTGCCATGAAAAATAAAATAGTCAAATAATTTATTTCTGTAGACCGTAAAGTGAACAATGCTGTAATATTTGCAGAATAAAACAAAGACCATAGTCTTGGCCGTGCATATGTTTGGGATGTAATTTTTTTGAGACATCCAACTGAATCTTCTTTGCTAAAAACCCAGAACTAATTGAAGAGTATAAGTTAGCGAGCTTTTATTGTTCCCATAGGCATATGGCTTGGCATAGTGGTTTTATTTAGTTTTAAAAAACTATGCTTGTAATAAAGCTATCGACAAAATGAATGACACGTCTGGTCCTTAAACTTGACCGCATAACGATTTTAAAATAATATTTGATAACGTTGGAACTTAATCCAACTGAATTTTCTCTGATCCATTTATCCTGTTAGTATGAATATGATACTTACATATTCATTCATGATTCATCCTTCAAATGAATATGAAGGAACAGTCAAGGTGATCATTGGGTAAATTACTTTTGAAGAATGTGCAGCAAATCAACGAAGGCAGCAAATAAAGTGATAGATATAGATCACCTTTTGCCGATGAAAAATGTTTGCAGCTTTTTACGGTTGTTTAAACAATATATTATAGGTATAATAAGGGAACAAGAAATCTGACAGTTTATATAGCTCTGGTGCTTCCCTGGATGCTTCCCCAGCATCCAGTTAATGTTGACTTTGAGACCATTACTTACATATACTTTTATCAACACAGCAATAACAAATGGAAGGCACTTAAGTCATATGCAACTTCCCAGTTATCTTCCCAACTAGACCTTGGGAAATCATCAAAAGAGATCGTGTGAATACTGCAAGGCTGACTGCAGTTCTCTCAGGTCAATGGAGTATAGGAACCCAGGCAGAGAAACTACGCATTGCTCATAATCTTTACTGCAGAAGTTGTGTAAATCTGCAGGAAATAGTGACCATAAAACGCTTTATCTATGATTGCTCACCTTCGGCGTCCAGAAGCTTTTTAGGAAGGTCTTCTTTGACAGCCTATTATACTGTTCTTCGGTAAAGGCGAAAGACATATTTAAATAATCGAAATTCGACGTGATGGATTTAATCTATATTTTTGTATCTAAGAGGTTCTTACGATGAATGTGGTGGGTAAACGGCGAAAAATTGCTAATTGAGGTACATAGAAGTTATCTGATAGCCTACCACTGTAACCAATCTTACGCTAAAGTTTTATGAATATTATAATGAAATGCTTCATAAGTCTGTATATTTGCTTGACTTGGTCCTAAGTCATCATTTACTATTTTAAACCATAAAATGGTTGTGTTGAAATTGGTTCTCCAATAAGAGAACAATCGATCAAAAATATATTATTTGGACTTCTTCAAAAAGTCGGAGAATAGTTGACTCAAATGTATCGAGTTGTTTGTATTGTGCGAAATAACAATGCTTGAATCAAAAAAAAAAATATGGGCGGTAATGTATTTGGCTAATAAACTGTGGACTTGATCGCGTTTTCAATTTATCATAGTGGTTGGTGATAATATCAATTGCTTCGATAAATTCTTAGTGGTCTGAATTTCGTTTAAAAAGTAATTTCGTCTACATAGTGAAATCAAGCAATTTTATTGATTTCCTTTCACTGCATTTTATGCTTACTGTTTACATGAGCAATAAAAGCTTGTTTACATAGATAATAAATAAGCTCCTAAACTAAACACCAAACACTGAAGTAATCAAATTAAAGTAAAATGTAAAAAGTTAGTTTCTATAAATTTTTTTTAAAGTATTCACAAAGACACTTAAGTGTTCAACTGGAAAGTAAACATCATTACTTTTAAAAGCCAGCCGCAAATAAGTCGGCTTAGTTCTGATAAACAATTGATAACGTTAATTAAATGATTACGATGTGAGCATAAGCAATGGTCATAAAATATATCAAATCAAGGACTAATACACTATTTAATCTAGCCCGAAAAAAATGTTTCATAAACGAGTTTAATATGTCCATAAGGGTTAAAACCCAGAACGGACATCAATGAAACTACACTTAAACGGCTTTTATTTTTTAATTTAAGTCGGTATGTATACAATATATCTTCAAAAAAGTTAAAGGATAAACAAAGCTATAAAAAAGTTGCAAGTATACAATTGTAGTAAGAATCATTCAATCCATTATGTAAAAATTTATTTATTTATGGGTAACTTCGAAACATTCTCTTTGAAAGGGTACCCACACATGAGGCTGTCCATTCGCTTTTGGTGTCAGTATTGTTTATTTACAAGTAAAATAAAAAACGCCACTCGGTTAGTCAATTGTGGACTGAAACATTAAAACAACAACAAATTGTATTGCAAGTGATAAAAATTTTTAACACTTTTAAGCGGCAACTTTTAATATTTTCAACACCCAGCGCACAACAAATATACAATACAAATAATGTTATTATTTATTTAAGGTTGAGTCAACAACAATTTCTGAAGAGTTTCTGTAAACACTATAGTAGTGTCAATATACGAACGATATCGAGTATGAATGTGTGTGTGAGTATCTGTGTCTCCGCATATACGGTGAATGCGTAAAATATGTGCGATATCTGCATATTGACTTTCGTATCGTTAAATAATCATTGTGATGTTAAGTCAGAGCTGTTGATGTTTAATGAAAATGTCACTGAGTTTACGTATTTTACACATGCAAGTATTTATTTGGGTGACACTTTAATCTCTCTTCAATTTTCAGAGGTTTTGTGACAGAACTAAAATCCCTTCAATCGGTGCAAGCTTACACATATGTAGCATACCATATGTGACTTTATAGTTATATATTTGTAAGTAAAATTGTTGACAGGTATGAAAATATTAATACTGATTTTTTTTTAATCAATATTAATTAAAATTTTATACAGCAGTTATAATATAATTCATAGATTTTTATTTCCTAAATATACCATTATTATGATATATCATCTGAGATCAAATCGTCGTGTTATATTTAATGTTATTTTTTTAATATCTTTAAAATTTGTTATAATCTCTAATACAAGTTGATTGGACAATCGTTTCTGTAAACTTTCTTCAATAGGAACAAGTTACTAACATATTTATTTTGTATTAGCCTTAAATTGGTCCTAAGAATTTAAGATCAAAATCTCATTTCGAGTTTAAAAGAAATACGAGCCTTAAAAAGACGGAAATCATAAGAAAACACCTCTTATTTTTTTAACCAAATTTCTGAAAAATCTGAAAATAGCTCTCAGAAAGGAACATTTTTAGAATACTTCTATTTCTATTTAGTAAGTTCAGTTTACACCTACAAAAGCCGACTATTCACAATGGATGTGTAATTAGCAGTAAACATAAACACAGTATTTTACTGCCAAATTTTTAACACTTCTCCATATTGCTTATATTTGGTAAATGCTTTTAATGTTTTTAATATTTTATTTTTCCTCTATACGTCCATAACTTACAGTGACGAAAATTTCTAAGAGAAATTACCTCAAATCAATCCAATCAATTTCAGGTTTATTTCCCACATAACCCAAAAACCTACATACATCTTATATCAATTGTACCTAGTTCATTTATTTCTATTGGCTATCTTGAAACTCAGCCTTCTCTTAACTAAACTAATATATGAAGTTTTATAAATTGGTCATGTTGACAATAGGAATTATAAGTCACAAGTTTTAAGTATTTTGCTTGAAACAATCCGAACAATTATTCCTAACATGATTAGGTAATAAGTGGATAATTCTAGTGCATATTGTTATGCCTTTCCTTAAGGAACACCTAACATCACTTTTATATTATAATCATATTATACACAATGCAATCGTTTAACTACTTGGCGTAATTTACAATACTTAGAGTTTATAGCAAGCTTTTTAAATCCAGTCATCTTACTATAATTACTAAAGTCAGGCTATGCTAGTCTATGGTTTTATTATTGCAATGAGCCTGAGATATTGGCGGAAGCATTTTAATTTACATGCTGCGTAGGATAGAAAACTTATTCAAAAAAATTGTTGACTTCATATGTGAGAAACAGAGGTTCCAGAAACGCTATTCTCTCTCTCTCTTTCTCATGACCTCAACGCAAATCATAAAAATAAATCTTGATGGACCCTACTGGTCTAGTATCTACCACTTTAGTGATTAGGGAACCATTTGTAGTAGACTTTATAGTAAAATTAAACTATGTTTGCGTTAAAGTATGGTGCGTACATAAACACGTAGATCCCAGAGATGTACAACTGAATGACAATGGCTCGTAATTAGAATCGGTTTTAAGGATCGCTCTACATTTAAACGGTATAATTATTTTATGAAGTCATTA